GAATGAACGGAGCAGAACCCACAAATCAGTAACGAATGTGTTCACCATCTAGGTCACATAGAGGAACACAGAGAGGTAATGAGTATAAAGTAGTTAAACTCAGCTTCACGTCAAACAGTTGCAGCAGTTAAATGCTGCTTCTGCCTTGATGTAACAGTAATAACAGTCTTATAATGTGACATTTCTTAATACATCAGTGACAGGAGTCATTGTGATACTTTTATTGTTTTAAGTGATGGTATTTCTGTGTCTTTACTGAAGCAGTTCTTGTGACTACAAGGCTTTTTACTCTGTTTTTCACTGGTATCTGCTGGTATGTCTTTTCTTTTTTATGCATTTTTGAGCCTTTATCGTGGAGCAATTGAACAGGAGGTGGAAAAAAAGGGGAGCCAATCTTGCAATGGGTCAGAATCGATCTCTGCGCTGGTATTCTTACTTCAGTAAAGTATCTGAGTACTTCACTGGCATTAGATGTAATATTCTTCTGTGGAAAAAAGTCAGCTAGTTAGAAATAACAAGGTATGAGGTTAATTAAACTAAAACTACTAATTTAGCTTAAATAACCTATCATATTTAAAAACCTCAAAAACACACAGTAATAGTTGATTGTTGATAGCACTGAGCTGCCTCATTGTGTTTTGAAGAACATCTCACAGATGCTCGATCAGAGATCTGGGGAATCTGGAGGCCGAGTCAACACCTAGAACTCTTCATCATGTTCCTCAAACTGTCCCTGAACAACATTTAAAGCATGACAGAGAGCATTGTCCTGCTTTTGTAATTCAATTAAAACGTAATATGGCTTCTAGCTCTTGAACATTTGAAAAACCCAGTAGAATATTTCCTAAAATCAATCAAAAAAGCATTTACGGGACAGAAATGTCCAACTTCTGGGAAGTGTGTTCAGTCTTTTCTGTGATTGTGGTTATGTGTACTGAACTAGACACATGGTTCCCTTTATACTGTTTGGAAGGTTATTTACTCAGACTCAAAATGAAATATTCTGTTTTAAGATGCTGAATTTCTGATTTTCATGAGTTATACGTCGTAATCATCAAGATTAAAGCAAAATAAGACTTGAAATATTTCACTTTACATGGATTAAATATAGTAAATGTGTAAGTTTACCTTTTGGAACTAAATTACAAACAAAACCAATTTTTCTGAATATTTTAATTGTTTAAGATGCACCTCATCGTGGTCCACCTGGACTTTCATTAAAAAAAACAAAACCATAAGTATAAAAAAAGAGTGCTTGTTGTCCTGTCTTCAGACTTGTAAATACTCGTTCTTTATTGTACCAACACCATCGGTTGTTCTCTTGCGCTTTAACTTGGTCTTTTAGCAGCACGATTTGTACGTTATGTTCCTTATTTTTCTAATAGGTATAATGTGTGAGCTACAGAATATCTTGAGTTTTCCCAAGAGGATGGATAAAGCAGGCTGCAAGGTGGCTCAGTGGTCGGCGGTTTGCATTCTGGTGAGGACACCCGGGATGTTTCTGCGTGGAGTGTTTTCTCTGGCTTCCTCCCACAAGTCTGAAAACATGTTGAGGTTAATTGGTGATTCTAAATTGTCCGTAGGTGTGAATGTGAGTGTGCTTGGTTGTCTGTCTCTAAGTGTAGCCCTGTGATAGACTGGTGACCTGTCCAGGGTGTCCCCTGCCTTCACCCTGAGTCAGCTGGGATAGACTCCAGCAACCCATGACCCTAGTGAGGATTAAGAAGTGTATAGATAATAGATGGATGAATAAAGTATCTGTTTTTATCTATAGGCCTGAGTTTGGTTCTTTTCAAAGCCAACTAAATCCTTCCAACACATAAACCTCAAAACTGAGCTTCCTAATGAATCCCACCTCTCAGCAGGTGTACCCATCAGTATATCAAATTGTATAATTATCACCAGATTCCTGCCAACTCACAGCCCAAACCAACAAGACGAACAACAAATTACACGACACAAAAAGCTTCTGCAATTATTGACTTTATTTTCTTCATCAAATTGGTCCAAAGGGCTCTCATGGCCTCTCAACAAGTCAGATCACAATGAAATATGAAATTATGGACACTGACAGGAGGTCAGACTGGAGGCATCAGCTGTTCTCGTGTTATTTCAGAGCAGGACTCCGCCGCTGACGATCCAGTTTAACCTCCACAGTACGAAACAGAACGAACCGGTCAAACCGCTGCACCGCCTCCAGACAAACTGAACCAGGTCCAACTAATATAAAGCAAGTGTAACATTAAACTAACACTAGCGGGAGTCTGAGCCGCCGAAGCTTAGCCTGAGCCTTTTATAGGGTTCAGTGCAGTCGTTTCAAAAGGGAGCGTGTCAGCTGCTCTCCGTGGCTGTTGGAGTAACTTTTAATCTGATTCCCAAAGAGCTGGACGACGTGTCTGCAGCCGAAACTTGTTAGTTCTAGAAAAGAGGTAGCAAACTAACGCCCCTTGGCACAAACGAGCTCTGCAGCAGCGCCTCTGTGCTTCACCGGGCCTGCAGGCCGGAGCAGGACGAGCTGCAGACGTCCGGGTCCGTCCATCCCCTTCGATGCCAATATCACAACCCAAGAAAGTTTTTTTGGTTTTTAAATCTCAATTCATTTGATAACAAAAGCACAAAAACACCCTGACTTGTGTAGCATGAGAAATACAGTACGTTTATAAAAAAATACAAAAAAAGCACTTTTTTCTTCTTTTTTTTTTTCTTTTAACCATCAACAGACGCATTTAATAAGGACCAGAATGAATAAAAATAACAAGAGAAGTTGTGTGTATTTTTCAAAACTTTTTTTTTTTGAACGTAGAACCTATTTACAGCGTCGTCATGTCAGAGTGGAGGGACTATGAAAGCACAAACACGTCTGAAGGGGGAAGGAAGTGACGAAACACGAACCAGGGCAGTAAATTGTTCTTCATTAAAGGTGTTTTATTTGAGCCTACTGTTGGTCTGGAGTCAAAATGACAAGCGTTCACAGAGTTCTCAGTCCTTCAGGAGTGACGTTAGTCCAGGGCGATGATGTCGTCGTCGTCGTTGTCGGCGGGGGCGGCTGCCGACTGGTCCGTTCGGGGGCGTTTGGTGGAGGTTTCGCCGGTTTCTGCGTCGGGGTGCTTCCTCTTGGTGCCGCTGGTCGCCGCCGCGGAGCTGGACGCCGCCGCCTCCTCCTCGTCGGAGTCGACTATCATGATGTCGTCGTCGTCGTTGTTGTCCGCTGCTGGAGCTGAAGTCCAACAGAAGAAGATGTTAGTCCAGAAACAACTAGCTGCAGCTGGAATCTTCAAATTTACAACATTTATCAGAACAAGAAACTGTAAAAACTACAAGGACCATCTGATTTTTACCCATCAGACAGTCGTTAAACTGCTCACAAAGTATTATTTCATAAAAACCACGTCACTCTACAGGTCTCAATTTGTTAAAAAAATCCCCAAAATAAACCCTTTGCTCAAACAGACTACACAAAAAACTACAAATTCTGCACTGCTTGGTGCAACCATGAAGCTTTTAGGGATTCAACAGTCACATGACAAAAATTTGGGAGTTTGTGGTTGAACTGCAGGCTGTGTTTACAAAAGAATCATAAAAAGTAAGCAGTAAAATATGCATATTTGTACAGTATGCAGAGTCCCCATTTACCCCACTGTTGGAAACACACAAAAATATTGTGATAAATCTATTTTTATGTATTTTCTAAAATAAAGACTTTCAAATTCCATTTTTTCTTTTTAAAGATTCGTGTCATAACTTTGTCGTACTGAACAAAGACGACTTTAAGTTCTCTTCACTGTCCGTAGAGCTGCAGGACTTTATATTGCAGTGAAAAATGGGCCAACAGTGACTAAAAATGTGACGGGAGCAAGAAGATCAGAGCAAAACTGCAGTTTGCCGACAAACACCAGACCTTAATAATGTTCTGTGGACAGACAGATCAAAAGATAGCAGTCGTATTTAACAGTGGACGTGTTTGGTGCCGACACAAGGCAGCTTTTCTAAAGAAGAGCTTCATACCAGCTATGAAAGAGGAAATGTAATAT